GCTATAACATATTTTTTTATAAATAAAATAACACAAATATATTATTTTTGTTATTAATCTCTCTCTATATAAAACTATATTATAACGCTTATTTAATTAAGCGCTTTTTTAACGTTTAATGTTTTGAAACACAACACTTATTAATTAAGCGCTATCTAAATAGTGCTATCTATTGCCACTTTTAGTGTAGTGATATAGTAGCGTAACTAAGGGAACTATGGTATAAAACTTATGAATTTAGAGAAACTTAATGAAAGAAATTGTGAGTAAAAGTTAAAGTTGAGATGGTGAGAACTTCATAAAAAGTAATAAGACATTGTAAGTTAAATAGTTGGAAAGGTGCTCCATTATGGTGACTCACGATGAATTGTTGATGTGCATTAGTACAAATATGTGATTGTTTGTCATGAATTGTTATGTAACATTGTGGATGCAATAACGTTGAAAGAAAAAATAGAAAATTTCATTCACCTATATTCAAAAAGTATGATGGGTAATATAGTTTGTTTGTAATGCACTTGGTGTGCTATTGTGGAAAAGAAAGAAGTAACTGTGCAAGCGTATTCATCTTTGGACCCTAGTTAAGGAGACAAGAATTATGGGTGGGACTAAGAGGCATGTATGTTATAGCCGCAAATTGAAGTTATGTTCTTTGATTTATTTATTTTGGGAGATGAAGTTGTGAGCTTTCGCTCATGTACGCATGACCTCTAGTTGTCCTCATGTACCTTTGGAGAACATAGCTTCGCATGAGTCTTAAAAGAATAACATGTGTGATGATGCCCTCGAAAGGATGATGTGGATGACCATAGAAGGTACCTAAGGTATGCTCATTAGTAAGGCGCCCGATTGTGGAGACTTAGTACAACTAAAAAATTCACGTATGTCAACTTGACAAATCTTGACAAATGTGAGGCACAATCATGATTGGTGAGAGCATCTATGCTAAGTACAAGGGTATAATGTATGCTCCCAATGATCATCCATAAAGAAACTTGTAAGACCACTAGGTTTAACTGGTGTGGTGGGCCCAATTGATGAGATTTCTACTATATACATTAGGATGTAACCCTGTTCGTCTGAAGAGCGTGTGTACTTCGAAGGATCAAACGTGTCTCCTAGTATATACATGTATAAGTGCGTGTTTAAGGATTTAGGTGTTCTAATGCCGTTCACACCATTTGAATGTGAGTTCTTGGAAAAGGTTAACATAGCACCAAGTCAACTACACCCTAATAGTTGGGGTTTTTTGCGTGCATTTCAAATATTGTGTGCGGTATTAGGGATGGAAGTAAGTTTGCCGAAATTTATGCATTTTTATCAAATAAAGTTAGGAGAGCCACCTTTTGGTTGGGTTTCGTTGAGTGGGAGTTCAAAAGGAGGAGGATTGTTCCAAATATTTACACAATCATACAAGAACTTCAAACAAGAATTCGTCAAAATTCGGTCTACGTGTAGTATAACCGTGTAACTGTTGTTTGGTTATCTTCTGAGGGTTATCGGCGGTTGATCCATATTCGATGTCATTGATATGCCGAGGTGTATTACCAATCTCCCTTATCCGATGTCACACCTCAGCGTTTCATATATTTACTTTAGTTTGACCAGGCGGTCACCTCGGTCAAAATTGTCTAATGAACTCGGTTGAGCTCGGCCTTAATCTAGGTTGGTACATAAGCCCCCCAAGCTCTAAGCGAGGTAGGAGCGAAAGAGGTTGATAAGGCCGGAATGGCCTAATGCAGAGATGACCGAGATTGAATAACGAGGGGTCGTAGCGCATAGAATAGTTGCGCACTGGAGGTGACGTGAGGAGTCACAATGATAGAATAATGACAACTGGCACCTAAGAGGTCGTGTCGTTTCAGTGCACGTGTTGGAAGAGTGATGGGATGTAATGAATGGGCATCACATACGAAACGATAGGCGCGTGGGGATGTGTGATTTTTAAAGGAAACACTTGGGTTTTGGAGGGATGTAAGAATAGCCATTAAAAAGGGGTCTGTGCATACACGCATACATTCGTATGCTTTGTTAGAGAGGTGCTAGAAGGCGAAGCGTGAAAGTAGCGTCAACGTGGGTAAAGCGTTTGCATTTCCAGGTATTCCCTTAGCCCTGTTGCTTTGCGTTTAAGTTGTAGCTACGTTCTATACGGATCCCATAGGCTTAGGTTGAGGGGTGAGGGTGGGATGAAAGGTGGCAAAGGAAAGAGTAAAATGGTTGAGGCGGAGGAGACGAAAGTTTGAAAAAGAGGAGGAAACAATCGAAAAGATTCTCATCCTAGAATTGTAACATCTGGGTATGAATGGGTGAGAGGTGATGTTGGTCAGTATAGCAGCAGGTTTGGGGATTTAATGGGAGTGAGTGTTTTGCAGCATCACCTAAAGTTTTGTGTGCCCCCTATGCTAGAGCAAATCTTAATAATCTTAATAGAACCCTGTTCGTCTGAAGAGCGTGTGTACTTCGAAGGATCAAACGTGTCTCCTAGTATATACATGTATAAGTGCGTGTTTAAGGATTTAGGTGTTCTAATGTCGTTCACACCATTTGAATGTGAGTTCTTGGAAAAGGTTAACATAGCACCAAGTCAACTACACCCTAATAGTTGGGGTTTTTTGCGTGCATTTCAAATATTGTGTGCGGTATTAGGGATGGAAGTAAGTTTGCCGAAATTTATGCATTTTTATCAAATAAAGTTTGAACGGAGAAGAAATCAGCTGGAGGAATCAGTTCACACCCTCTAAGCACCTTCAGCTGCCAAGAATCGCCACCAGCAAAGAGAGAAAAGGAGAAGTGAGTATTTGGAGAGAAAATGAGTTGTGCGGGGAAGGGTGAGTGAGGCTGAGAAAAAAAAATGTAAGGGTGAAAATGGGAAAATGAAAGAAAATAAGGTCCTCACAATGTGCATTATTACTTTTAAATGACAACCTTAGAAAACCATAACGTGGTGGTATATAAGATTGTTGTGAAATTTTTATGTTCATTTTGTGTGACATTGTCAAGTTCATTTTTACTCCATATATTTATTTTTTAGAAGGCGATGGATTGTAGCCAACTAACTTGCTAAGATATTTAACGATTTGATGGTAAAACAAGCTAGAGACTATTGTAGATGAGAAAATTAATAAAGATCCTTCAAAGGGGTCAACTTAGGTGTTTAGAGGTTCAAATATAACATTCTTGAGTATGTTGTACATAGGTGACTACTCCAAATCTTAGGTTTTTATTTATTTATTTATTTGTTTGATAAGAGTAGTATAGGATCTCAATATTTTCAGTATTAGTCATTAGTGTATTTCACAAAATACTTATGTTCCTTACGTTGGTTTGTATATATATAATGATGAGATCTAGATGTTCTTAAGTCACATATTACATTTTATGACTTCAATGTATTTATTATTTCTATGTATAAGATATTTTATACTTGTGTTGTTGGCACAATATACAACTTGAAAATAAATTAATAGCAATGTTTAATTGATGTAAATTAACACCGTTATTAATAAGAGTGCTTGATGAATATATATAAAAAGGAGATAGAGAGAGAACTGTTTGTACATGTTGACAAAAGTACGTAATTGAAGAATGTTTTCATTAAATGGAAGGCTTTAAATTTTTATGTAAAAACAAAATTTTCAACTTTGAAAAATATAAGTCTCGGGAAATGCTTTAATTAAATATGAATTGAAAATATTGATGGTATGTAATAAAAACATACATGTACATTTTAGATTAGGATGTCACATTCATTACACTTTGTTGACTCTAGTGGTTCATCAACCAATTCTTTTAAACAATGATAAAAATACATTTTTAATGTATTAAGACGTATATTTCACTTATTAAATTTAATGAATATATTATATTTAATAAATATCATAATTAATATATTAAAAGTAGAATGGACTTCTCGATAATATTAAATACAATATTTATTAAATATAATATATGTAGTCAAATTAGTAAGCTTAGAAATTAGGAGATAAATTAGTATATGTATTATATATTTATCAATTTATTAATATTACATTAAGATATATTTAATTTTTTTCATAAACCATTTTCCCATAAAATTAACAAAAATAATACTTTTTAATATAAATATATTGGTATTAATATTCTCCTATAAAAAATAATATGGTTGATCAATGGAAGTCACATTCCATGAGTAGTGATGACAATGAGATTACATAGCAGTGAGTAGTAGAATACTCTCCCGCGTCCCATGGGATATTCTGCTTCATACTTATTCCATACACGCACAAGTATATGATAAACAAGTAGCCTACAAATTTTATAAATATTTAAAAATATCTATGAATAGTCATGGATTTTTAAAAATAAATTAAAATTTTAAGAAAATATTATAAATAAATTTAAGTTTGTATTTAATGTTAATTCTATTAAAATATAAAGATAAATAATTGCTGTTAATTTTTAAATTTGCATCTGACATTAATTTTATTGAAATGTTAAAAATAATTTTAAAAAGTGTAAGATAAGCAAATAGATATTTAAATAATTTTATTTAAGGGCTACCTACGAATATAAATACTATTATATCTATCTCCATCCCATTTATAAAATGATAGAAAATACTTGAAGCTATTACTCGTTAGTATCTATTTACATTACCCGTTTATTATTTGTAATAAATTCATAAATGCATATTAGTCCTCAGCTTTGTGCACCATATCCATGGACAAAAGAAAGGTGTTAAATGTTAATATTCTTAATAATGAGTGTTATTGAATAATATATTTTTAATATATAGAATATTCAACTTAATTATATTATATTTAATAAGTACTTTAATAAATGTCAAAGTAATAAGTATGGTTATATGTTATTTGCAGTACTTTAACATACTTATTACTTATTACAAAATAAAGTAATAAGTATGTTAATTATAATAATTAATTTATGATTTTTTAATGCAATAGTCTATATATTTATAGAGAAATATAAATAGATGGATTATACAAAATATATACATCCAAAGTCCATTGAGCTTGCCTTCTTCTTTTGTCTCAATGATTTCGTTGAAAGTTATCCTTGCAGCCATGGTTATTGTTCTATTTTCACTAGGTATACTCAAATAAATTTCTAAACAGAGATTTTATTTTGTAATGTTTTTTTTTGGGGGTTAATTTATACGTACTTTTGTTTACTATATATTGTTCATATTTTCAATTTAATTTCAAGTTCCATAAAATGCAGGAGTAAGTAGCGAACAGTGCTGTCCAGGAACTTGCCATGATTTTCCTAACTGTGATGCCGCATGCAAAAGTCTAGGCTATAAGATCGGAGAATGCATTCCACCTCAAAATTACTTCTGTTGTTGTGCCGAGCCAACGCTTCAAACCACCTGCAAAGGTCTAGACTTGAATGATACCAAATAGAGTTTTGATCAATGATCATACAGAAAGCAATGTGTGTGTGTGTTATTTTTAATAAATATTAGCTTCGTTACTGGAAATAAAAAGCAGTACGAATGTGAGTTAGTATTTTAATTCAAGTAATGTCAAATTAGTTTTTGAGATTTAAAGTATATTTTTGAAATTACTAAGATTTATTTTTTATATTTTCAAATATTAAAAAATGATATAATTTAGAAATGTAAAAAATGAAGAATACCGTTATTCAGTAATTTTAATATATAACTAAAATAATAATTTGAAACATTGATCATGATATTTATAATTTTAAGAAATAATTAATTTAGTGTATATTATTCCACCC